GGCGTGTTGGAGGAGGCCTCGCCTGCCGCTGCCTCCGGCGCTAAGAAGAGCAAAGCAGGCAGCACCGAAGGCGCCAGGAGACCAGGGTGAGAGTGCGGTGGGGCCAGGGGAGCAGTGCGGGGCGTGCTCTGGCGGCCGAGGCTTGGGCCGCACTGTTGGGCCTGCCTTCTGCCAGCTTGTTTGAGCTATTGAACCCCCTCGGGACCGGGGAGTCGGTGCAGCCTAACGGGACGTGCTTTCCTGGGATCCCTGGCCTGAAAGCTGTAGCCAGCCTTGGCGTGGTGGGCAGCTGGGGAGCACGGGGACCTGGGGGAGGAAGCTTATCCGCGAAGTGGTTTGAAAACCCACAGTGGTTTTCACATGTGGGCTTCCCAGGGTTGTGCCCTAAATGCAATGTGATCACTGTTTCCCATAGAATACCAGATTTCTGTTCTGGAAATACGTACATGAAAGAGGTAAACTTTAATTTTTTTTTTGTTTATTTATGTTGCAGAAAACGATCAGAGGAAAAATCTTCAGTAGCTGCAGCCGGGAAGACCAAAAGGGAAGCTGAGGTTGATAGTACCAAAGATGCGGTTTTGGGAAAGAAGCCGAAATTGGAAGATGTTGTATCAGAAGATGCTAAGTAAGTGCCTACCTTAATGTGTAAGGAAATCATAGCAAGACGTACTGTTTAGCTATATGCCATTTATGAATAGTCAATATCAGTAGCTTTGCAGTGTTTTCATATAAAGATGAATTTGTATATGGAGTTCATTTTCCATTATATAGGTAAGTGAGGGTATGCTGGTAGTACAACTTCAGCAGTGATGAGCGTTGAATATGCTGAAATAATACTGCAGACAGACAGGCAACTGCAGCATGTAATGTTCATGTATTTGTGGTTACTGCGTGTGGATCAGTGGTTCTTGGTCAAAGCCCTTGTGTTGATTTCAGGCATGTAGAAAGAGATCAACAGTGAGGCACATGGGAGGAGGCAGGCTTGATGTGTACCATGCCACTGAAAGACATAATTGGCTTGGGGTAGAGGAAGAAGTATTTGACCAAGGAGACAAACAAGGCTGAGGGATTCAGCTTTTATACTGAGCATGATACAGATGGGATGGAATACCTTTGTTGTTTTGGGTCATTGTCTTGTCTGCTCCTCTCTGCAGGTGGGACCCATTTACGCTTTTCCACTTCCGACCTTCCAACAGGACATATAACAAAGTTAGCTGACCTTGATTGTTATAGCAAGAAGTAGAAGCAGGAGTGCATCTGCATACCAATCCTTGCTATTATCAGGCCTTATCTCTGCTAGAAGTGGATATTGCCTGAAAAATATGCTGTTAATTTCAGAGAGCGTGGTTAGTAAGAAGAGACCTAACTGAAAAGTAAGATTACGGAACAGAAAGTTGGCTCTCAGACCAGGACATGAGTCATGTAAGATTATAACTGCAGCAAATACTTGAAATCTTAAGTACAGGTATGCAGTTGTGTGCTTGCTGCATTCTTATACTTTTCTCTGAATGATGTGTTGCTGACTTCTGTTAGACATAATTCTCATCTGGACTGTCATTTGGTCTTAGATGGTAATTTTTAAGTTCAAGGTGAGATTTTCTGTGAGAAAGTCATGAAAAGACTTCTTAGAAAACTGTAAACAAAGCGTACCTGTAAAGAAGCAAACCAGAACCAGGGTCAACATTTTCAGTCAGTTTCTGTTTTAGTGGTCTCACTAGAATGTGTACTTGCCCACAGTAGCTTAGTATGTTAAAACTGTAAGAAAAAGCCCACTGTTTTATGCAGTGAGACACTAGCCCATTCTTGTGACAATGAGAGAAGGGACTGGTAAAGAAAAGAGGGGTCTCATCTTCAGGCAGCTGGTTGGGATGCTTCAGTCTACTGTTAATTCAGTGTCATGATGAGTAGCAGAAGTACAGGTCTTGAATTTTGCTTTGTTGTATATTGAAAAAAAATCCCCATTTAGTCAGAAAACTTCACGTGAACAAATGTGATCCAAGTGCTGTTTTGTGGTGCAAGTTTTTAAGGTGTTACAAATCCCAAAGCAGTGGCTAGGTTTATTATAGTAGCAAAATTTTAACAGAGAGGTATTCTTAGTCTTTGTAGTAGTCTCTGCCAACTACCCGTTTCAAGTTTGTGCATCCTTTTCGTAATGTTGTAGTTAATGTAGAGGTGCAGTTCAACATTTTTGCATTTATAAAGAAAACAGGATTTTTAAATACCTTTTTGGCCATCCTAACTCGTATGTTTTTAGTCTGGCAGAACTGATGCCTCAAGTAAAGGTGCAAGCTGTGGAGACTGTTGAAGGTTGTACACATGAGGTAAGTGCAGTGAAAATGCAAATGAAAAGTACAGGCTTGTTTCATGGAATTATATGTATTACTGCCAGTATAATAATATTGTTCATTGTACTTGCACTTATTAATATAGAATCATAGAGTCATTTAGACTGGAAGAGTCCTTTAAGATCACTGAGCTCAGCTGTTAACATAGCACTACCCCGTCCCACTAAACCGTGTCCCTGAGTGCCACATCTACATGTGTTTCAAATACCTCCAAAGATGGTGACTCAACCACTTCACTGGGCAGCCTGTTCCAATATTTGATAACCCTTTCAATGAAGAAATTTCTCCTAATATCCAATCTAAACCTCCCCTGCTGCAACTTGAGGCCATTTCCTCTTGTCCTGTCACTTGTTGTTTGGGTGAAGAGACCAACCCCCAGCACACTACAGCCTCCTTTCAGGTAGTTGTGGAGAACAGTAACATCTCCCTTGAGCCTTCTTTTCTCCAGGCTAAACAAGCCCAGTTCCCTCAGCCCTTCCTCATAAGACCTGTGCTCCGGACCCTTCACCAGCCTCACTGCCCTTCTCTGGACATGCTCCAGCACCTCAGTGACTTTCTTGTAGTGAGGTGCCCCAAAACTGGACACAGTACTCGAGCTGTGGCCTCACCGGGGCTGAATGCAGGGGAGTGATCACTTCCCTAGTTCTGCTCACCACACTATTTCTGATAGAAGCCAAGATGCCATTGGCCTTCCTGGCCCCCTGGGCACACTGCTGGCTCATGTTCAGCTGGCTGTCGACCAATACTCCCAGGTCCTTTTCTGCCGGGCAGCTTCCCAGCCCTTCCTCACCAAGCCTGTGGTGTTGCATGGGGTTGTTGTGAGCCAAGCGCAGGACCCGGCACTTGGCCTTGTTCAACCCAATACAACTGGCCTTGGCCCATCAATCCAGCCTGTCCAGATTCATCTTTAGAGTCTTCCTACCCTCAAGCAGATATATCATTCCGTATTATATTTACAGTAGAACAGGCTTGTAAAGAGATGAGATCTGTATCTGGCATTGAGCATGCACAAAATGCACTTGAAAAATCATTAGGATGTCTTATTCGAAGCCGTTTGAATGATACTTGCAATAAAATGAGTGACTGTGAAAGACTTGATGATAAAGTTGATAGGTTTCCATATCTGAAAGGTACCAAGCACATTCTGAGTACTGTTGTTGAGGAGGAAAACTCAGCGGTGGTTAAAATAGGTCTGTGTTCATAGTGTGACTTAAGTCACACATTGAAGTAGTTTGCTATTCTGGTTGAAAAATGAAAGGCTTTCTTGCAAGGCTGATTACTGTTGAAAATTACATTTTGGTAAAAAGGGAAAAAAAATGTATGTAAAAGCAAAATAATGAAAACTATCCATTTTCAAATTGTGTTAGACATAATACAATTTAAAATATGAAAAATAAGAAGTATTAATGCTGATTATTTTTTTTTAAATCGCCCTTCATCCAAAGATGTCAGAAAGAATTTCTGTGATAATTAAATACATAAATTTTAACTTCCTTGTACTTTTGTGCTCATTTTTGTTTCTGTGCTGTTGTCCAGAACTAGCTCAAGTTAATTAGGGTCACA